AATGTCACTTCTGCTTTAACAAATTGTCGATCTTGCGATAAGCGTTGATTTCCAATGATGTATTCCATGCCCTCTCTGAAACATTTGGTTTGATCATTTTTGTTAACGAAATTTGTATGACTTGGTTTTTCAGCTATCTTATCATGTGACAGGTTGCCTCGTACATGGTCGTTTGGGTGTCCTGCTGCGTTTGATCCATAAGGTTTAACACCCTGGGATCCATCTAACACAAATCTTTCTTCACCAAGATGATGCTTAAATCCTCCTAATGTTAGTGCATCCCTTTTATGTTGCTCTAATCTTCTAATATCATGGACCTGATTTGCAAGATTTTCCTTATCAATCTCCATTCTGATAGCGGTATCTTGTCTTAATTGATTAGGATCTTTTCCTGTAGCTTGTGCGACAACGTTGAACAAACAATTATTGTTTCCTGTATCACTAAGTGTTGGTTCTTTTCCTCCAGGTAAAGTCCAATGTCCAGAAGGATGATTTGCATTTGTTTTATGATATTGAACTTCGATGGGTTCACCATGTTTATCTTCGCCAATAATGCGTACGAGTTGTCCTTTCTCATCTAATACTTTTATTGGTCTTCCTGCTACATCGCTTAATCGTCCTAAATGCGGTAATCCAGCTTCTCCGCCATTTCTCAATTCATCTACCATCTTATGCGCCTCAAATACTGCTTTTTCGCACTTCATACCTTCTTTATATTCTTTTCCTATTCTATTATTTCTATCACCATCTTGAAAAAATTCTATTCTTCTTTCTGCTTGATAATTATTAATTTGAACTTGTAAGCTTCTGTCTAAGTCTGCAGTTAATAGTGTCATACTATGATTAATACCAAAATCGGTAACTAGAACAATCAGTTTACGTTGTATAATATTACAGATATGTTGCGATACATTCTTTGCTAATGCTCTATACAAGTCATCAGAAGATTTATTTTCTCTTCTAGAATTGACTTGTTCAGGTTCTGGTACATTTTTAAGGTCGATGTCTTTACTCGATGTTTCTGGAGTATAAGTCAATATATAATTTTGAGTATCTTCTTCTTTCATGCGTATCCTGCTTTTTTGTTCACTTGTTGTGTGCTGTTTTTGTTGTTCTGATGTCTTGTAATTTTGAGTTTCTTTTTCATCCAATTTTCCTTCTTTATATATATTTTCGATTGCTTTGTTTAATTTTTCTATAAAATTAGGCACAAATTTATCTAACTCCTCTAAAGTTTGTTTTACTTGAACAGCTTTCAATACTGCTGATAAACCGGATATTTTCTGTGTAGCAATACCTTTAACTATACCAATAGTTATAGTTTTTAATGCACTTTGTTGTTCAGTTGAATGGAATAATTCCATTGCTTTTTGTCTGATTAGACGTTCGTAGTAATTATTTCGATTTTTTTCATCTAATTGGAGCATTTTTTTCACTTGATCATTGATTAATAAAGCATTTTGTATTGGCTTTTCAACTCGTTTCATAACTTCGTCTTGTATAATAGGCATCAATGATTTACTTACACCATGATCAATAAGTTGTGTTATTAATTCTTTCGCTATACTTTTAGCTAAACCTGCTGCAATAGCTTTCGCTGCTAATATCCATCCTGCTTTTACTGTTGTCGTCATGACTTGACCGATGCTACTCGCTCCTGCCAGTACAGTTTTTGCTACATCTAGCATTGCACCAAATCCGACACATGCAATAGCTACAGTTAAACTGATAGCTTTTTGTATTCCATATGATTTCCAATCAAAATCTCGATTGATAATGCCGCGTTGTACTACGACAATCAGATCACTAACACCTTCAGCAATTAATGCTGTACCGATGGCACTACCTATACCGGCAGTATATACAGCAAGTGCTGCTCCAGCAACTATTTGCGCAATACCAAGACTGGCAACAATAATAACTGCAGACCAATCAATCGGTTTCAATCCTTTTATTTTAAAGGATCCAAAAAATCCATTATTTTTATATTCTTCAATTTCATCGCTAAACAATGTGATGTCTTGATCTCGTGGTAATAATTGTTCAATTTCTAAATATTCAACTTCAATATCATAATTATCTTTTCTTGCTTGACCAATACATCCATGTTCTTGTGATTCTTTATCTTTGTCATTACTTGATTCTTCGTTGGAGTCTTGTTTTTCATCATTAACTTCTTCTGTTGTAATTCCAATTGCTAATTCAATTGTATATTTTTGTGTACTGAATAAAAGCATTTTACGTCTTAGTTGTTCAGATAAAGCTTCAGAAATTGATGCTTGTTGAATAACATGTAACATCGGTTCCAAATTCTCTTCGATGATTTGTTTTGCTCGTTTAAAATCATTAATTGCTGCATCAATTTCGTCTTTATTTCGCTTACAATCTTTTCCATATTCAGCAAGTCGTGCGTATCCACGATTATAATAAGCATTAACTTGGAAATGTTCATCCAATTTAATTGCTTTTGTAAATTCTTTCATTGCATCTTGATTTTTTCCTGCATCTTTTTTCTTTAGACATTCATTTCCAATTAAAACATGAAAATATGGATTTCTAATTAAATCATTGTTTGCATTATCGATCAAAATTTCTTCTTCAAATACCTTAAATTTCCGCAGCATCTCTTTTTTTGTTATTCTTTTTGTTGACTCTTGCATTTTTAACCAAATACCAAATCTATCTTCAACGGCACGTAGTTTTATTTTATTTTCTTTTGTTTGTGTATCATCATTTCCATTAATCTTTGTAAGTAACTTACAAAATTCTTCAAATACTGCATCTTTAATTGTTACTTCATCTATTTGTATTTCTGCTTTACATATCTCAATTTCTTCCTGTTTATCTCGAATTGTTTTTAAATTCAAATAATCATTTTCATATTGTTGTAATAAAATAAATTGACCAGTGCCTTTATTTCCTGTTCTTGATGTTCGACCAACATTTTGTTGTTCAACTCGTTCATTTGGTGGTAAAAATGTAACCAAAACATGTAATCCACCATATTTTTCAATTTTATCTGCTCGAATATCTGTTCCTCTGCCAGCAATATTTGTGGCAATAATGATTTCACCAGATGTCAATTCTTCTTCGAGAATTTTCGATTCATCTCCCGTTCTATATGTTTTTATTTTTGATTGATCATAACCCGACTTAATCAATCGATTTTTAATTTCATCCACTTCTTTGATATATTTTGTAATTATTAATACACCTCGTCCATTATTGAGTTTATTCATTGAACTTTCAATAATATTCTCATACCAATCATCTTCATTATTCACAATAATTGGTGTTAATTCCTGATATTGTTTTTTTCTAAACGGTGGAATAATAACATTGTCTACGTTATAAATTTTACTTAATAGTTTTTGAGCAGCTTTACTACCAAGTGTACCTGTTAATCCAAAAAGATTCGAACCATATCGTCTGAAATAAGTTACATTTGAGATAAAATTCGTTGTTAAACTTTCGGCACAAATTTTAGCACCATGTTTAATCTGTAAAAATTGATGTAATCCATTACTCCAATGCATATTTGCTTGAATAATTCCTGTATTACTTGCATCAACTGGTACAATCTTTCCATTTCTGAGAAGATAATGTTGTTGATTGTGACATCGATATTTTGCATGAATTGCACTATCAATCCATTTTGTAAGTTGACATTCAAGTACTAATTCTCTTAAATGTTTCGGAATTTTAATTTCGGGATATTTCTCTGGTATTTTTTGACCGATATCTCGAATTAATTTCCTTAGATGTTTTTCTGTACACTTTTTGATAAAATCTTCTTTTGATTCTTTAATTTCAACAGCTTGTGCGGCAATATCAAATCTAACTTCACCCCTATTATCAAATATATCTGGTTGTTGAATGAAATAGGTTTTACCATTAGTTTCTTCAATATATTTGGCAACTTCTCCAATCTGAATCCAAATCGCTGCTAAAAGTGGTTCTAAATGATCCATTGCCGGCATTTGAGACGATAACATCACAATGTGATTTCTGTCATCAATTAACATTGAATCAACTTCATCAACAATTGCCACATCACATTTTCGACCATTTCGAGTACCTAATTTACTATATTCATCACGTAAGATATCACCTTGAAAGTCACTTGCTGCACCATAAACAATATCAGCTGTGTATCGTATTTTGATATCTACTAAATCTTTTCCATTGTGAGATACAGTTAAATTGAATTGTTGATAAAATTCTTTTAATTGTATCGATTGTGGTTTAGCTAATTCAGGTGAACTCGTAACAACATCTACTTGATGTCCTTCAAGAGCTTTAATTGCAGCTAGCATGGCCACAATTGTTGTTTTTCCTTCTCCAGTATTGATTTGTACGAGACGTCCAGTACTGTGTTCAGAATTTATCAATATCAACAGTGATAATAACTGAATTTCTCTTACAGGAAATTTGCTCGTAATTTCGACTGCTTTCATTACAACGGCAATTTTTTCATGATGACTAACGGAATTCGATGATTTTTTTACCTCTTCTGTCCATTGTTGTATGTCTGATGTTGACCATTTTTGAATGCAATTAGAATTTGGATATAGTACAGATTTACTTAGATAAGTAATTTGAATATTTTTATATTCTTCTGTAATTTTTTTCTCGCCAATAAATGATATTGTTTGATTTCGATTTAAATATAATATTTCTTCTATTAATTGTTTAAAGTTTTTATCATAAGAACGTTCAAATGTTTGAAATATAGCTAAATCATGTATTTGTTCAGTTAAATCTTCTGGAAAAATAGATGTTAAAATATCAATTAGCGTCTTTCCTTTAATATTATTATCAAATTCTTTTAAACGATATTCATAAATTGGATCTAATGCATCAAATAAACGTTTGATATCTTTTTTCAAATCAATATGATTAATTATTTGTTGTATTGATTTGAGTGTCCAACCTGAATGTAAAATTTTAATCAATTTTCCATGTAATTTCTTTATTATTTCACATTTGTTGATGTCAATTATTTGATTATTTATTCTATTTAAACCTAAATTCATACATAGAATTTGGTTATTTGTTGAATTGATTTCCACACAAACTTGATTTAAAATTTCTTCAATTTCATCATCTGATATTTGATTTATTAATTCATTATCTGGATTTAATTTTCTTTTTTTCTCTTTTTTGATTCCAATCAATTGTCGATCTAATATTTTCATTCTATTCTTTTCCGTACTATAAATTTCGTTGATTTTCAATATACGTTTAATATCTTCCTTTAGTTTACTATCTTGACGAAAATCGATTTCATTACCTTGTATTATTGCTGATGCTTCAATTCCGTACAAATATTCATAATTATTTTGATTGATTAAATTTTCTTCTTGTGATAAACAAATTGATATACGTAATCCATTTTCAAATTTTTCGGTTTCGTCAATTGTTATTGGATATGTTACATGTTTATTTTCTTCTAGTAAATCTTTGATCAATTTCAATTCAATAGAATGATAATTGGCAATTTTTCTTCGTTTGTACGATTGAAATAAACTTAATACATACATTTTCGGGAATTGTTTATGACGAAGTTCGATCGCTTGTTTTTGTGTAACAAAATTCCATTTTTCAAAATTATCAATAAATAATTTCTGTTTTTGTTTAGATAAGTTCTCTGCCATAGATTTCATATTTGCAAGAGTAAATACTCCGCAATTATAATCATCAAATTGATCACAAGATCGATGAAATTTGAAATTCATGTTTTCTAACTGATTAGTAAGAATATTTTGTATTTCTATTCGTTCTACAATGGAATGATGTTCACCCATCGAATCTTTGTATAATGCAATATTTTCTTTGTTCTTTTCATTGTATATTAATGCTAAAGTAACCCAATGATTATGGGCAATATTCAATGGAATAATCGTTGATCTATGATCTTGCTTATATTCAGTTAAAACATCACATAGAATTCTCGATAAATTTCTGTCTTCTTGTTTTCCTAATGCTTGAGTAATTCGAAATTTTGTTCCATAAAATTCTTTCATCCATTCCATTGATATTATTGCTATATCTTCTGCCTTATACCAATATGTTGTTTCTGCTTGATTGTATGCATTTTGTTCAACCGATGTTTTTTTTCTTCTAAAATGATAATTTTGACTATCATGAAAATATTGTGCATAAGATGGAAATTTCTTCGATAATAGTATTTGAATAAATTGTTCATTTAATTTCAATTTTAAATTCTTTAAATTAATTTTATTGGATATTTTATTTGTCAAAAAGTATTCCTTGCTTTCTATTGTTAAACTACAATTAAATAGTTGAATAAAAAACTGAATTAATTCATCAATATTTGGATCTTCTATTAATTGACATAAAACAAAATTAATTATACTTATTCTGTATGGTAAATATTGATTCAGTTCTCTTAATTGTTCAATATGAAATGCAATATCAAATTGTTTCAGTTGTTTCTTTAACCATAATTCACGTAATTCAATCAAACAAATTTGAAAATTACAATCTTTCATCACAATATCCCATGCTTTTATTTTATTTGATTCAATTAACATTAATAAAACATCATTTAATATTTCAAGACGAAATTGACATAGAATTTGTTTTTCGATTAGTGATTGTAATAAACTTTCAATTGAATAAACGTTTTGATCTTGCGTAAGGATATATGTATTTAATAAATGGATATATTTACGAAAATTTTCTAATTCAAATACATCTACACCAGCAACGGAAGTCATTTTGAATGTTTCAACTAATAATTCACTACATAAGATTTCTTTTCGCCATTGTTTTCTATGAAATTCATGAAAAATATTCGTATCAATTTTTTTCCGATTGAAGACGGTGTTGTTTAATGCACATAATAAACGAAATTTTTCCAAATTATTACAATCAGTAGCATTCGTATAATTGGATGAAATAAATTCATCTACTGGTTTTAATTCATCAGGATGAACACCAAGTCGTTTTTTAAGTTTGTTATAATATATTTGTAACCAATCATTATCTGACGGATTTTCTTCAATAAATTTTTCTAAACTCTCAAATAGAAGTTTATTTAAGAGAAAATCTTGATTATCTTCTATTTCTAATGTACGACATTTTAATGAATCAATAATTGTTGTTTCTCGAGATATTTGAGAAGAATGTTGTTGAATTTCTTTTGATAATATACGAGCACAAAGAATTCTTACTTCAATAGTTTCTGTTTTTTGTTCTAAAAGTATTGCACATTTTTCCAAGACTTTCATTGGTACATTTTTCTTTTGAGTAGCAATTTTTACTGTTGCATAAATTAAATACTTCTTTAATTTTTCATCTTTTTCTTCATCAATTAATAATAGTTGTTTCCAAAGTTGATTTATAATTTTATCTGACAATTCCATGTTACGACTTAAACAAACAGCTAAAATTCCGATAACCATAACCGATTTTAGTAGTTCTGTATGTTCTGTTATTCGATTGATGTTTGTATTTGTTAGACCTTGTTTAAGATTTATTTCAAATAATATTTCACTTATCTTAGAACGCACATCTAAGTTCTGGTCATGTTCATTAGTATTTGTCAAGACGTCAATTAAACATTCGATTTTCTTATCACTGATGACATATCCTTCTTGAACAGTTTTCCTTAAATTTTCTAATGCATTTGTATCAAACTCTAATATTTGACGACAGCATTCAAGTTTGCATAATTCATCCGGTAAAAAGGATTCAATCGTAGTACCATCACTTTTATATTTTAAAATTTGTATGTCATTTTGATCACATTCAATTATTGAGCTTCTGATCATTTTCACAATACTCTCTCGAACTTCATCATGTATTGTGCGAAAAGCAACTTCCAAGAGATATGGTAATTTATTGGAAAGTAAGTTTTCATTTTGTTTTACGTTGGATATTTTAATTAATAATGCCAATGCTTGTTTAGAAGTTTCGTCAACACAAACATCGTGATTTTGAATTCGATCTATTATCATCGGCAGAAATGCTACTAAATTTTCATTTTGTTGATCTTTGTCTATAAATTGAGCTATGTCATCAATGGAAATAGTATGATCATGTTCAATAGATCTTCCAATTTCAACCCAATCAATTTTAAAATCATTTGTTTTACTAAAATCGTGTGGCAATATTTTAATCAATACTTTGAAGGCATCGCTTCTTAAATCGATATCATATTTGATTAATGATTGTAATATATTGACAGTATCTAATGTATAATTTTGTTCTTTGATCATATTTTCCAAAGCAGTTTTTCGTATTTTTAAATCATTCCGCGAATTTTCCAATAAATCTAAATTTTCGAAAGTTTTATCTATTGAATTAATTAAATGTCGTGCATAATTATTGTTGTTTTCGGAAGCGTTAAGTCGATCAAGAATAGATTTTGAAATATCATATCCATTTTGATATTCGGCGTATAATAAATCGAAAATATCGTTACCAAAATTTGATTGATGTTGTAAAATGAATTCGTCAATGTTCGGAATATTTTTCAGACTCATTTGTTTAGTCTTAACTAACGATTTACTTAACCAAATTATGTTCTTAGCTGTAGACGTGTCTAATAATGATGATCCTATGTAATCATGACATTTTTCAATGAAAAATTTTGGTAAAGTCTGTATTTCTAGTTCAATAATTTCGATGATCAGTTCAAGTTTTTCATTCACATGAAAATATTTCGTTAACTTTTCAAAACAATTTAATGTGAGTCTATTTTTCTTTTTAACATATTCTAAACAATCATCAACTATACTCGAATCATCGCTAAAACACTTGTTTTCTAATCGAATAGCGTCACTAATATATGCAAGATCATTAACTGTACATTGTTGTAAAATTTTCAATGTGTCATCTCTTGCTTGTTTATCTTCGTTTTCAATCAATATTCGATAAAAATATTTTAGTAAACTTGGATGTTCTCGTAAAATCAACTTTCTACTCAGATCTTCAATTAATTTTCGTTGATCAAAGGGTATTGTTGGTAATATTTCATCTAATGTTTCTTCTATGTCGCTAAATTTAGACATGTCGATAAACTTAAATATTTTTATAATAGCTAATGATACTTCTATATTTTCAGTCATTTTTCCTACTTCTACGAGTTTTTCCAGTGTTCCTAATGAGAGTTTGTCTGGATTAGATAATTCAACATTCTCCACTATGTATCCAAGTAGAATAATTAAATCATTGATATTAATCATTTTACTAGCTTCTACTTTTCTAGCGCAATAATCTAATTCATATCGAACATCATCGAGTTCATAAATGATATCCATAACTTTATCACAATCGACTGTACTATTTAATTTGTATTCTAACTGAATTCTTGTATTGTTCAAAGTCTTCTGCTTATTAGTATCTCCGAACTGTTTGAGTAGAATATCTAAGTCGTTGAAGGATAACTGATCTGGAATCAATTTTCTTATGTTAGTCAACCATGATAATCGATCATTTAGTGCAAGACCTAACTCATTCGCCACTTGAACATTTCTACTATCGGTACGCAATGTCTCATCAATTTCATCAATCTTCTTAATGTATCGATCATTTTCTTTGCGAAAGAATTTCTTCATTTCCTCTCGGATATTTCCGTCAAACGCTTGTCCTCTCTTCTCCAAAATTACAAACAAATCGATGACGATATCTCTCAAATCAATTTTATCCTGGTCTCGCGGTGAAAAATTCTTATTTTCTAATGTAGCACTTAACTTCATTAATTGTTTATCTTGAAGTTTATATGCATCGTCCTTATCAATCACTCTTTGCAAAGCCGACAGAATTTTCTGTAACGCAGGCTTCAGGCGAAATTTGAAATCATCACTTAGTCCGATCTCCACTATCAGTCTATCAAAATTGTTCATAACACTAGACGCAGTATAAAATTTCATCTTTTGAAATCGTTCCGCGCACAGTTTTTCATTTTTATTTTTACAAGCATTCATTAATATCGTCAAGTTTGCAAAGGCTATAGAAATATCGCTACCACTCACCAAGTATTCTTCTTTCTGACTATGCTCGACGAAATCAATTTCTGAATTTGTATTCAATTTTGCTGTAATATTTTCTTTAAATCTCTGTTTTTCCAAGTCATATTCTTTTGTATCCAATGAATCCTTAATGAATATTGTAATCCTTCCATTTTCTGGTACTAAACCGAATGTGAACCAATGTTCTTTATGATTGCGAATAAATGTGTCTTTTTGTTTTTTTATTTCACATATGGCAAACAGAACAGCTGGGCTCTTGTTAATGTATTCTTTGATTGTACTGTCGATGTCGGAGCAGCTATCATATATGTATTTCTTGATAATAGTATTTTGGAACAACACATCATTGAATGTATGATCAGTGGTATAAAGAATTTGAAACCGAGCTCCTTCAAATTGCTGTGTATTAGGTAACAAAACATTGGATGGTACTGATTGTTTGGATGCTGACGAACGACCTCGTTCACTGTTCGGCATAAAAGATGATACGGTTAGATAATTATTTTGTCAAAATTAAAGTCGTTGCTCTGTTGCCAACTGGATTATTTGTATAGGAATAAAACGATAATAAAATAACTGTTATAGTTGAACTATTATTTTGGTTAATCGATGTGAATTATAGAACATATGATTGATTCTTCAAGAAAGTCTTAAGTAAAAAATATATGAAAGATGTAGATATCTATTTGTAATCAGAAAGGTACTCGGGAAATGTTCGCTTTAGTTGAATGCCGGTATTTAGCTTATTCAAAAAGAACAGGTCTAAATTATGGAAATTCTTTTAAGGAATATGTTGCTGAATTTCTCTTAGAGAGTTGTAGAGAGCAGAAGAAGAACTGAATCTTTCCTCTATTCAGAACAGGTGGCTGGAGGAAATGTAGTTAGTTGTTACATTTTCATCAACAACCAGTATTTCGAGTTCATTTTCTCTTTTGCAAAAATAGGGAACATTTCTAAGATCAAGATTTAAACATCAAGAGAGAGAGCTCGATCAATTCGTCACCCGATCACCTGATGATTCCTTAACTTTTATCTGTTCTGACCATGTTTACTTTCAATTTCGAGAGTTGAGACCTCATACAATTACAATCAGTACACAAACGAGAAACAGACAAAGAATCGCTAAGAAAATTGTAAAAAAGTGTTACATACTCGACTCACGTCGGTTTTTCTTTATGTTGTGTGTCAAAAAAAAAAATACGTAAATCTAGAATAAAAAAATCTTTGAATTCATTTTCTAGTGTCCTCTATATATGCAATACAATAGATCAAAACAATGATTAATTATTATTACAAAAAAATTTCAAATTATCATCACTCATATAGATTTTATTCGTTGTTGCAGCATTTGTTTTTCAATCCTGCATATAAGGAAAATCTCATCAGAAATCGGTAGATTCTGATTTGTAGCATTTCATTGAGCACTAGTCAAACACCAATTGTTAGAATAATTGATCGATGCAATCCGATCTAATTTGTTCTACAACTTCATCTCTTACGGCTGTTTTGCACGTTCTTCTACTGGAAATTCCAATAAAAGATAATTAATTTAAGTACATGATTGTAAACGAAATACTTGCGAAAGTCTGTTATTACAAAGCACCGTAAAGAATAATCATACATGATGTAGATTGTCCGGTTAAGTCATTGTACTCTGCTCTTATTGCCATCAAACACCCTGCTTCCTGATTTTTATACCCAAAAAGTAATCGTTCAAGATGGTTTTGTCTAAGATATTCACTGATGCTGAGCGACGAAGAAAGTTTGTGATGATTAACGTTTGTTTTTCCAGTTTGTCAGATTTTCTCACTGATAAATAGCGTATCCAGTTGTTCCACTGTATTACAGAGAAAAACACCTAGAAACATTTGCATTGCAATCTTGCTGAGTACTGGAGATCTGTTTGGATATATGAACCAAATTAAAAAAAGTAGCCATCTCCATCAGTAGACGATTTCTTGCTTCAACGAGCCGGTAATAGATCGACGACGCAGTCATTTGCGTATCTGGACAAATAAACTTCATTCTTCCATTCGATTCACTTGGACGCAACGCTACAGGAGATTTTTCTTTACATACATCGAACACAAAAACAGAGCTATGTACAAAAAACACGAACAATCAAAAACTTAAAAAAAGATTAAATACAATAAAAAAAAACAATACATTGATAAGATTGACAATAGAAAATAAAATAGAACCCAAGAATCAACACTATTAAGAATACTACTGCGATTTGTCTATTTTCTATTCTCTTGCTCCAGTTGCACGATACGAATCCTTTCCGCTTCCTCTTCCAATCGAATCAAATTTCGCTCTTTATAATTAGGAGACCACGTATAGTTCGTTATCATTTCCTTTGCTTCGTCGAAAGTCTTAGTTGTATCTGGAAACCGATCTCTCGCGAAGTCTATTGCCTCTTGCGCTTCCGTATAGGCTTCATTTTTTATAAATGCATCTATCACCAATACGAATGAATTGTGAATAACATCTAGAATCTTCCTTGAAGCAGCGGCCTGAAACTTTTCAGCTGCTTCCTCATATTTTCCAAGTGCTTCTTCTATTTTAGAAGTTGCTTCTTTTTCTTTTCCTTCTTTAAATAATCTTAATCCTTCTCCATTTAATTTTAAAGCGTCTTCTTCTGCTCTTTGAGCTGCGCCTCTTTGTTCTTTTGTGCTCCTTCGCTCAGCGGGTCTGAGCACTGCGATCCACTCTTCCGTGACTCTTTGCTGTTCGGCGGCTCTCTGCACTTCCGCAGCTTTTCGACTTGCCGCCCTGTGTTCTTCAGTGGCTTTCACTGCTGCCCTTCTTCGTTCTACAACTCTCTGTTCTTCCACGACTTTCTCCTTTGCAGCCATTTGTTCTTCTGCAGCCGTTTGCTCAGTTGTTTCTCTTTCTCTGCTTCTTCGTTCCTCGCTACTATCTGCGATACTATCCACGATACTACTACTTCTTCGTCTTGGTTTTTCTGCAATCGTTCGCTCAGTT